AAATGAAAACTGTGTTTATTGACGGTACTTTCAAAAGTTGTCCTAAGCTTTTTTACCAACTTTTTTCAATCCATGGTGTGAAAAATAACTACTATGTCCCTCTAGTTTTTTTTTTACTTCCAAATAAAACTAGTGAAACGTATACAAAAGCTTTTCGTTTCATTCAAAATTATTTAAACCCGGATAAAATATATGCGGACTTTGAAAGAGAAATCCATGTAGCGATCTCTGAAGTATGGCCTTTAGCTCAATTAAAATGTTGTTGGTTTCACTTGGGCCAAGCATGGTGGAGGAAAATACAACAATTAGGATTTTCAAATGAATTTAAAAATAACGATTCTGAAATAGGACGAACATTAAAATTGTTTTTTGGCTTATCTTTACTATCGCCCACAGAAGTTAACGATTGCTATATTAATGACTTAATGTCATTAAAACCGATAAATGAAAAACTTGATGAATTCTTCGATTATATTTTAGAAAATTATATTGAAAAAGATAGCTCATTTCCGCCAACAATGTGGGCTGAATATACCAGTAGTATAGAACGAACGACTAATTGCTGTGAATCATTTCACAGCAAATTCAATAGTTGCTTTTATTCCGCACATCCGAACATATTTCAATTTATGGATGTACTAAAAGAAGTTCAAATTGAAACTTATATTGAGTTATATAAAATTGCGAAGTTCGAACAAACTACAAAACCTGAAGTCTAAAAATAAGGAAATATTCATAAAAACAGAAATGGACAAATATAAAAAGGTGGGCAAGTGGGTGTCGCTCTGCTGTACAGTAGGTTACAAGTGGGTCGCTGTATAATGGATATTGGATGGTATTAAATTTGATTTCAATGATATAATATCATTGTATAAGAAAAACGATACTGAGCGGCGACGGTATGCCAGTCTAGGTTTAAGACATATTATATTCTTATCTATGGTATTAAAAAAAAAAATTGACCTATAATAGATACCTATTATAAAATCCAAATTAACCATATCACAATATCCATTAGGTACTTATAACGCGTTATACATCAATAACAAACCGTGATATTATCATAGATATATAGTATAGTATCCTTTAAAAGTTTCAAGTACAAACGAATAATATTATACAATCACATCAAAATAATTAAAATAGTTATTCTAGGTTTTTTTATGTAATTTCGTCCCAATTTGAACTTAAAATGAGTATAAAAATAAACTGTGCTTGTGTATTTTTTAGATTTTTTGATAACAGAATTAACTACTTACATGGAATCTTGTTTTAAATTTTCAATCCTTAGATATAAAAGTTGAAAATTTTATACATTTTAACTACAAAATAATTATTCAATTTTAAATTTGACAAATTTTGTTTAAATTCGATCTTTAAATCCCTATAAAAAAAAATTGTGCCTATGTATTTTTAATATTTTTCAATTGCTATTGTAACAATGTATCAGGATCCTTGTATTCAATTTTTACACTTTTTAACCCAACAGATAAAACTTTATTGATATTTATAGAAAAAAACACTAAAAAAATTGAAAACTGAAAATGTCCGTAAACAGCTCAAAAAGAGTCAAAATATTTTCAAACGTGTATGGTGTATAGGATAAGCTAATATAAACATTCAGTGAAATTTTCATGTATCTACAGTTATTCGTTTTTGAATTACAACAAAATAAGGAAATCGCTACATGAGAAATCGAGTGAAAATCCAATGTTGTAAAAATTTGAATTTCAAACGCTCATAAAAATTTAATTTGACTGTCCGGTAGAGATTTTTTTATTGATAAAGGTAGATAATCTTATAAGGAATCTTGTGTTTCATTTTCAAATCTTAGATTTAAAAAGAAAAATTTTTACGAATTCTTAACTCAAAATAATTTGCTAATTTTCGTGATTTTTCCATATTTTGTCAATTTTTGAACTTTAAATGCTTATAAAAAAAAATTGTGACTAAGGATTTTTAATATTTCTCATCTGCCTTTGAAACAACATATTAGGAGCCTTCTATTAAATTTTCAAGCTTTCGCAACCAATAAATAAAATTTTATTGATATTTTTAGAAAAAAAACTAAAAAAAAATGGAAAATGAAAATGTCCCTAAACAGTTCAAAATAAATCAAAATATTTTGAAAATGTTATCGTGTATAGAAAATGCAAATATAAACAACCAGTGAAAATTTCATGTATATACGTTCATTTGTTTTAGAGTTACACCAATAACCAAAATCGATTTTTTGGAAAACCAATTTTGCGTAAAAATTCCCGTTTTTCCTTAATTTTTATGTTGTTTTTCCCGGCGCTTGTGAAAACTACTGGGAAATTTATACTTTTGACCTCCCAAAGTACCAACTAGATTCACTTTCCTATCTGAAAAGCTACTGATGAAGAAAATCCAAGCACTTTTACTGTCTTAAAACGTGATGACAGACACAAAAATATAAATAAAAATATAAAAATATAAAAATATAAAAATATAAAAACATACATCATTGTAAAACCAATACATTCATCGCTCCGCTCAGAATCTTAAAATAACGAAATCAGTAGATTTGAATTTTTAAAAAATATTTGCTATAAGTTTTTGCCTCAATAAGAGAAAATAATAATTATAAAAAAAATGCATGAATTAAAAAAAACGATATACCTGTATTTATAATATTTATTTTATATTTTTAAATTAAGATTTGAATTTTTAAAAAATTTTTGTTATAAATTATTTATTAAGCCAACCCGGGAACCAATTCGGATATACCTTTTGAAATAACCCGGGAACCAATTCGGATATACCTTTTGAAACAACCCGGGAACCAATTCGGATACTCCGCAAAAATCAAACGATGAGCAACTGTCTTACAAAAAAAAACAAAATTAACAATAGTGATGCGCAAACGACAACCCGCAGTCGCAGTATGACTAGTATAAAAGAAAAGTGATTGCTCATGCCGGCGCGTGTACAAGACAGGTCACCGCCATTTTACGGTAAACTATGTATGCTCATTTGTTGTATGCGCTTGTTGTCAATCCTACAGATGGATCTGATTAGGAATACTTCTAAAAACTGAATTTAATTCGTTAATATCATGTCTACTTGAGATCGGTCACTGATCAGGCCAACATTTTCAAATATTTAATTTAAATTTCAAATAATCCACATTTAAAAATTTTACGAGTTTTAGAACTAAATTTAAAAAAAGTGGCCTGAACTCTGAAGTAGGCAAACATTTTTTTTTGTTTAATCCCTAAATTTTGTCTGCTGACTTTAAAAATTGGAAAAAAAGTTTTTGAGTTATGTATTGAAAAAGATAATAAGGGGCCACAATATTTTGGTTTTGCACACAGGCCTCAAGTAGCCTAGTTACGGCACTATCTCGGTGAACGGAGTATAACTGTAGATATAAGTATTTGATACATGTTTCAATCCGATATTGTGTACACATTCAAATACGAGAATAGAATAAATAATGAGAGGGCAAATATATAAACATGTTTAAATTATAACAAAATGTATAAAAAATCATCATATTAATTCCAACATATTTTTAAAGTGTCGTTGAAAACTAAAGACGACCATGCACGCTAGTACAGTTGTAGATACTAGTTGTAGTACTAATATAGATAATATGTTGTTTCCTGGTGGGCAGTGGTGGTGATGGTGGCTTGTTCATGTGTGTGTATAAATAAGACAGACTTCTATACTACACTTAATATATACTTAATATATAGAAATCTGTGAAATAAGACTGGTATTATTCCTAGAAAAAGTATTATCTAATGTGTCCAGCTGTATCGCTGTATCAGTATTCACTGTAAAAATAATATATACTTACCTATATTCATCAAGCTGAATCTGAAAGAGTACAAACAAATATAGACGCCATCAATGGTAAAAACATGTTTAGGTATGCAAAACAAATAAAATCTCAAATCTCAAATGGAAGACTTATTAATGTTTAAATTACATTATAAACTGTATAGACTATTATAGATGATAACAAATTAATACATTATATATTTATACCTTATAATATGTTATAACTTAAAAGATGCAGGACAATAACTTAATAACTTATATTATGTAAGTTTATAGATTATTATAGTATTATTTATAGAAGCCAGAAGGTATAGATTTTTAAAATATAGATACCTTTATATTGTGTTTTCCACTAGTTATGGATATCAATGATATCATATATTATCTCGTATATTATGGAATATGGATATTAATATTATTATGCTGCCTCTAAACTTATTTTTGGTCTTATACCATTGATTTTTAAGTATACAGTGACAAGCAATTCTATACCGTTATTTATTGTAAATAGATTAAATCTATTCTGTAATGTAGGTATAAAGGTTAGACTCCAAGTCCTTATAGAGACCTATAACCAATAACCATTAACCTAGCGCGTTATCATTACTATTTCAATAATTACTTTAAAACTTACAACTCACTATTTTGTTCGATAAAAGTTTGATTTGTTACATTTATGCCTTCAAATTAAATAAAACTATAAACATATCATTAAATTTAATTTATTTTATAAACATATTCAAGGGTGCAATGGATATGAAATTATATAATTTTACAGTCCATCACAATTTATTCACAGACCATCGCAGATGCATATAATACCTAATTAACTAAATATTTAACAAGTTTTTATTGGCAGTCATAAGTCATAACAAGAAAAACAATGAACCTGAAATACACACATTCTACTTGCCAAGCTCCCACGAAAAATATAGGACATACCTACTTGGTGACTGGTGCTTCGTGCTTACATTATTATATATTTGACCAGGATCACCAACCCCGGAATATAGATTAAGGAGAACATATTGGTGGCCCAGATAATTACATAGACGAAAATGCTGCAGCGAATGAGGCTGTTGGTCGTAAAGTTCTGATCTAAGTATTCAAACAAGAGCGTGGACGTCCGAAGCATACAGCGAATTGAGCGCGCAACAGTCCGGAACGCGTACATTGAGTGTGCAACAACCATGACTGTGGCGGCAAATGAAACCGCGGCCCGACAGAATTTGAAGGCCGAGGGCATGATAGATCCGAGAAAGTTAACACAGAGCGCGATGTCTTTCATGTATTTCAGTAGAGTGAACGTGCTGAAGCAGAAGAAGCCTAGAACGATCAGGATTATGATGAACAGGAAGGCTGCTGAAGAATACCACATCACCCTTTCCGATACACCTGAACGATCGACTCTGGTAGGACGGAGACAATAGACATGTACAAAGATACTGGTGACCCAGGCGAAGATCATAAAGGTCCAGGTCCAGATTAAAAGCAGCTCGCACACGAAAACTTTACTGAAGAATAATGCCGATCCAAGCCAGGCAAAACCGAGTGTCGTTGGTTGATTGTCCAACGACGATGGCAACTCAAAAAAGCAGTTCATAACTTTATTCAAATATTTGAACATCTTATGATATATACCTACTGTGGTATCTTTTGTCTTACTGTGCTAAAACGATTTTTCAAAAAATTTATAAACGAGAATATTTCAATAGTGCGAAATTATATCGTTACTTATATAAAAAAAATGACCTAGGTAACTACTTCAAATATTAAATTCGTCTTGACAACGAAACAGTTTAAGTATAAGTTATAACTAAGTAGGTAACAAACTAGTCGGATTTTGACTGAAATAAATATTATGTTTTAATACATTGAATTACATTCACATAAAATTATATTTATTTATCAATCTTTATATATTTATTTTGTCTGTGTGTACCACTCTATATGAACTCTTCCTAAACGGCTGGACTGATTTTTATGACATTTTTTGTTAGAGTTCCTTGGATGATTTAGATTCACATTGTTGGTGTTCACACTCCCAGTTGGTCCAACACGGAGAGGTGCCCAAACAGGAGTTTACGATGGAAATTATTGTTTATAAATGGTTGCCATTATAGTTACTTAGGAAGATGGGAGGTAAAAGCATCTACTAAATCGTCGCGTTTATGGTTTCGAGTAAAGAAATTATATTTAAAAATAATTAATATGAGAGTTGAATGTACATTTGTAGCTACTTCAGTGGCGGACTGAACGACCGGGATACCGGGAAATTTCCCGGTGGTCCGCTGCTCCTATAAAATATATATTTATTAATATTATTATTGTGAAATTATAAATTAAAATATTATCTAATAAGTATGTAATATTATTAAGGGGGCTGGAGCGTAATCCATTCTTAAGAGAAAAAACTAGGCATTTAATATTTCAGTTTATATGGTCGGGTCTTGTGAATATGTTGGAAGTAAATTAGTGTGTGTAATTCATAGTATCGATCATGTTGTATAGGGACATCATTGTGAACGGATTTGAACGTCTGTAATTTTACGTACGCGAAAGCACAAGTCACCAAACTTTACTTTATAAAATTACAAACATTTTTTCTGCCAGTGACTTCAATCACTACTCTCAGTAGGATGTTCCGATTTAAATTTTGAAAGTAGATTTATATTCTCCTCTAAATTGTCTATGCTTTAAGGGACCTCCCTATAGCATTGATTTAAGGAGAATCATTTAGGCAATTTCTAATCTCGTCGTAACCACCCGAGATCTATGTTTTAGTTGTAAATGATTATTAATCCATGCCAGTATGTAAAATTGAGATCATGAAAAAATTTCATTTTTCACTCCAACATATGATTTTAATTCCAACAATAGGTCGCAACAATTACCTCGATTTACATTCTGTTAAGATATTTTTTTTCCACGACATGTATGAGGGATCGATTGAGGCACATTTTTAAAATTGTATTTAGTTATTTAAATATTTGAGTTGGAAATTCTAAATGTTTTACAATATTTATTGCAATTTAAATAACAAAAATTAAAAATGTGGCTCGATCGTTCCCTTGTATATTTTACGGACAATCCGAATATTTTTTCAGAATGAAAATCGTGATGATTGTCGACACGTATCGTTGGAATTAGAAACAGTAGTTTTTTACAAAAAAAGACGTGGTGGTGAGGCTCCTTAACTGTCGCAAATTTTTCATAGGTATTCTATATCAATGTGTAATGGGACAATCCTTAACATACTAAAAAAGGCTCTTAACAGAGCCAACAATCAGCATATGTCTATAACAACCAATCACAGGCCAGAACGAACACAACACACCGTATCATGGGCTTAGGGAGGAATTACAAGCATCAAAGTACATACATAGGTACAACGAGCACCACAAATACAGTCAAGAATTCCCGGGAGGTCATGATGAATATGACAGTACCTTCCCCATGGCTGTAACACTTTTACTTTTACACTTTTATTTTCATTTACTCTCAACACATTCACAAGACCCATATGAACTGAAATATAAAATGACAGCTTTTACTCCTTAGAATGGATTACGCTCCAGCCCGCTTAATAATTAATATATACACTGAGTAATAGCTGTGGTAACCTCTCGTTATATCTGACATCGGGGAATTATGGTATATATACCAAAACTCCGGCGCGGATACTTGATGCGCCATCAACCCCGTGTATTATTATGAGAGTTAACTTGGCGATTCAAACCGTAGTAAAGAACTATCGTGACAAGGCGCGAGTGACCAACGACCGGCAAGGAGGACAAGTTCATTTCGACATCTTTTCAATCAAGGGACACTACACCGGACAACTTAGTCTCGGAATAAATTAAAAGATGTCCTTTTCAGGACAGTCACATATAAAACAAGCCCCCCCACACGCGCCTGGTTAGACGCTAGTACGCTACTTATTTATGTGGGCCTAGCTCAAACTATACTGATTCCGTCCATCAATGTACTGGAATAATTATCATGTAGTCCTTTACAATGTAATACAATTCACGGATTATAATATGGCGTTGGTCCACCAAGGTATGCTGTGATCGAAAAATAACTCTATTCCCCTATGGCCTATAGTATGTACACAGAATACATTTTGTTGAAATAAAACAAACACAAAGCGTGTACCGTATCAAATGTATTTAAATTTTAATTATGAATATGATCTATTTTTACCCTTTTCTTTGGTAAATTTTTAAGGGGATTGGAAGCGGCGATTTTCTGTCTTTATCTAATACACGTGGAACATAGGATTATAGACGTGTTCTATGTCCAACGTACCGATTAATCTAATGAAGCGATAAGAATTCTGAAAACAGATTTGAATTTGTCGTCAAGTCTACTTGAGATCGACTTTCCCACATTTTTGATATTGTCCCACCAAAATCATAAAAATGATATATTATAAAAAGTACTTAAAAAATTTACAAATTTCAACTTTTGGAGAAGTTTAAATCAAAAAATCAAAAATGTGGGAAAGTCGATCTCAAGTAGACTTGACGACAAATTCAAATCTGTTTTCAGAATTCTTATCGCTTCATTAGATTAATCGGTACGTTGGACATAGAACACGTCTATAATCCTATGTTCCACGTGTGTTAGATAAAGACAGAAAATCGCCGCTTCCAATCCCCTTAAGTAAAAAAAAATAAAATTGTCAAAGCATAGATAATTTAGTGACAAATTCAAATTTTATATCAGAACATTATATTGAAAGAAGTGATTGAAGTCGTGAGGTATGTTTTCGACAGAAAATGAATCACGCCCCCTTAAAATTAAATTGGTTGTAGTTTAAATTATATACATACAGGCACGCCCGCAGATGAGTGGCTCACTAGGTGCAAAATAGGTAGGTACCTACTTTTAGTGATAATATGTCTTTACAAGACTGTTTGTCTTAAAATAATAATATTGATTTTTATGATCGTATGTTAAAATAAAAATAATGAAGTATGTTTACAAACAATTATGTTTGTTATTTTTTTTTTGAGGGTGTCATTAGATTACCAATTCAACAATTGTAGTGTATCAAATGGTAGTTATAAGAAAAAATTGTTTAGCGCTTGTAAATTTAACCTATACCCATTATTTTAATTAAAAGTATTAATGCATATTTTACTAATCTTTGGAGGGCCATAGTTAATAAACTATAGAACCAAAATTGACGATTCGACTACCAAAATGTTCAGAAAAAAAAGCTTTACTAGAATCCATTAAAAAATATAGTGGTTACCATTTGAAAAAAGAAAGTTGATTTTGCTATTGGTACACCTGTGTGTTTAAAAATTTTGAAATTGTTATAAAAAAATTGCTTGTTAAAAATAAAGAAACACGTCTTTTTTCGTTTTAACGAAATTCCATATCATCGTTCCGTAATCGTCAAAAAACCCCGCGTACAATGACATAAGATACACCCTGTATATTGGGAATAATCATAGATAAAAATTATAAATAAACAGAGAAGTAATTTTTATATTTTTTTTTTATTTGAAAAATTCAAATTAATAAATTTCTCAGGTGGTGCAATTGCACCACCTGGCCCCTCCTTCTGGGCTTGCCTGTATACATAACAATTACTTGAGATATACTCTAACAAATTTACAATAGTTATTTTATTTTGTTTTATATCAATTAATTAAAATATTTAAATATAAAAGCTAAATTGGGTTTACAAAAAAAAGTGTATATATATTATATAAAGGGCCATTCGTACACTGAGGGGCTCTAAAATTATGATTTTCCAGGGCTGGTTTTTTCTCCCAGTCTGCCACTGAGCTACTTCAATTAAATAAAAAGTGACTAACTTGCCTAACTTTTCGGTAAAACCAAGATACACTTGTAGACGCTAAATTTTGTATTTTTGCATGGACAAAACCGTGCTGTACAACTAAAATTGGATGATGGCTCGTCCGAAGTTAATATCCTCAAAAAACGACTGGACTGTTTTCAATAAAAGTTATATCAATAGATTTCTTGAAACTTTGAGGATGTCTATAACTCAATTTTTCAACTTCTATAGGGTATAGATACCTAAAGGGTAATAACTAATAAGCTAAAGCAAAAAACTTACTATTACTTTTACTAGTATGCGCATGCTTAAGTTAATATATTGATAAGTGATAACAATATAAAATTCACCATACAAATTTTACAACAACATACTTATTGTTTCAACCAAATTAAAGTTAGTTAAAGTTGTCTAATTTTGATTCTGAAAAAATATTTGAATTCAGCAGAAAAAGGTCTGTAGATTGTAAGAAAAACTTTTCATTTTAAATTTGAATTATAATTTTAAAAAATCTATAATTTCAAGTACAAGATCTAATTTTTAGTAAGTGTTCCATACAATCTATCGAACATTTTCTAACGAATTCAAATTTTTTTCTGAATCAAATCGGATAACATAAATCAACTTTAATTTTTTCAAAACTTAAGGTATTTTAAGCTGAAGTTGATGGCAGTAATAGTAGTTTATTACAGAAAATGAAAATTTGAAATATTCATAGCTTGTCGGAACAAAACAATTCAGTTTACGTCATTGGTGGGTAATGTTACAACATTCAAATAGGTCTGTAAACATAATAAATCAAATTCAATTTTGAATGTCAGAAATATTTGGATTGAGTGTAAGGAGGTCCATAAACAAATATTAAATACAAATATCATTGACAATATAGATATTAAAATATATTAAATCAGTAAGTTAATTAATTAAAAATGTGTCATTTGTGTTATTTTTATTAATACATGCCCAATGAATAGGGATAATAACTTTATACTCCATTTATCTATGATTTACAATTTAATATATTAACGTACCTATGTTATGTTTATAAATACATGATTTTTACAAATATATTTACCTTGTTCATAGTATATTTTATTAGGCAATATAGGTTCAGATTATTTTTTAAGATATACTACTTAACTTAAGAAAATAATAGTACATTACATATTTATTAGTGTGTATAATAATTGAAAGGTAATCATATTTATTTATAATAAACAAATGTACATTTAACAGGATCTGGGTCTAATTAATGATTTTGTTAAAGTGAGTACATTTAATTGCAATAAAAATAAGATCACAATTTTCACTAAATGAGAATATATTATAGTGAAAAGATAAAATAATGGATGTTCAATACTTCAAACTTTGTCATCTAAAAAGAAAAAACGAAAATAAATTAACCATAATATAAATACAAAATCTTCATTTTTTTTAATTAACTACGATAATAATTAATAATATATGTTTCATTTAGGTATGAAATAATATTTGCTTACCATGATACCACCATTTTGTTTTTTTTGGATTTTTGTTGCATGTTTTTATGTAGAAACTGTTGTCTGGAGGTCTTTTCTGTAAATTATAAAACAAATTATTTGTGTTTTCGCCTATATTTATATATATGTATATATGGTATAATACGGTACATACAATAAAGCAATCATATTACAATTTAAATAAATAATTTCTTTTATAATCTTATGTAAGTCCTATATAATATAGTCCTAAACAATAAATGTCAGAATGCATATTGTATTAATTGTACTTGAAATAGTTATAAAAATGTAACATAATATATAATTATTTATCTATTCAATTTTATAAAAACAAATTTATGATTGTATTTATTAAAATAGTTAATCAATAGGTCCTATTCAGTGGCGGCCTAGCCAGGTCGGTAAGACAGCAATCACCAACTGGAACCTCTTCAAATTTATTGAAAAAATATGTTCAAGGCCCCATTTCTTCCTAATTGTTCCTAAAAGGAGGGGCCCTTTTTTATTTAGCCGACCAAGTAATGTATGTTCAGGCTACTCATGACCCTATATCTTACAAAAGTTTAAAACATGATTCAACTCAGTGGCGCCGAACTCAGAATTTTTTTGTGAAGCGAAATCTAGAATTTTTTATCCACCCACCCACCCACCCACTTAAACTTAAAACTTCTGAACACAGGACACCTTATGTAACTTTGTTTACCCATTAACCACTACTCCCTAGAACTTATCTATACCCACCTACCCACCCATTAAGAAGTGAAGCGATCGCTTCACATGATATATGAGTTCGGCGCCACTGATTCAACCAAAATATCAACGTAACAAATATATAAAAAAAAATTAGAAAATATGGCAACTATCAAGTACTTACTTTTGATTGTAAGTACTTAATCTCATTAGCTAATTAATTGCAAGCATTTACAAGTTACTAGCTTTTTTTTTCACAACACTTTATTATTCTGAATAAATATATTTGTTTGCAAAAATATTTTTGTTCTAGACAAGATTATCATGTTTTTTACTTAATTACTCAGGATGATGTTTTTTTTTAATTATCAGTACAAAAAATTATAATGAAGATTTTTGTTTTTTGGTAAGTAAATAGTACTGTTTGTGTTGGAATTTTAAAACAAATAACTAAAAGGAAAAACATGATTTTCTATTGCATTTAATGTTAATTTTAAGTTGAAAAATGTATCACCTCTATATAGTGCATTAGTGCATACATTCAAATCTAGTAATGAGTAATGTGTGAAAGTGAAAAAACACTATTCTATAAAATTATATGTGATCTAGTGAGGATTCACTTATTTATAAAAGGTAATGTGATGTATATTACGTCACTATTTTAAATTAGTAAAACTCTACATAATATTATTGTTTTATTTAAGTAATTTTTGTGAAATCACCTTTTCTTTGCAGCTGCTTAGCATAGATATAATTGAAAGACAGACAGATTGAACAGATAATGCTGGTGACCAGTCATCAGTAAGAATAGATAAACAAATATGTCCATTACTATACACATGTGGATGAACTGGAATGTTTTGGCCCACAAATGTAACCTTAAAAAAAAAATTATTATAATTAAATAAAATATTAAAAAAAAATTATTATTATTAAATAAAATAATAAAATAAAATAAACATTTTTTACTTCAGGCGACTCAAAGGGATAACTGGTACCAAATTTGAATTGCAACTGGAACTGTTCTCCATCATATAAAGTACCTTCAGCACCTTGCATATTTATAGTCCAACTAAAAAGTAAGATTACACATTTAAACATTATATAGAAAATAAAATATCTATGACAGGCTTTGTACTAATGAAGTTATATAAACATTAGGTTCACCAAAATCAGTTAATTTTAAAACAAAAATAATCCCACAGTTGCAACTATTATTTCAAAATATGTAAATACTTAAATTATAAATAGCTAGATAATCAGAAAATATAAGTTTACCTACATTTTTGTGATAATAAAATTATTTATTTATTTCTTCTACCTATACTCCGGCCCACGAGAGTTCATATGCCCAAACGCGTCCGTCTCTGCACATCTGCTTGTTGCCGAATAGTGGGAATGACATCATGGTGGGAGAAAACAGACGTCGCGCATTACTATTTCGATGCGCGGTTTATGTATGGACTCTCGTGGGCCGGAGTATAACTATATGTTATTTGATGAAATTACTTTCATTGATTGTAATTAATCATAACTAGGTATGTGCCTAAGCCCTAAGCTGATATACATGTTGATAGACCTGCTACATAGTTTAAAATATTAGATCGTATAATTGTGGAAACGAAAAACAGCAAAATTGCTCAGATCAGAATCAATTTGTGATGTTAGCTATTAAATTTAATTTCCCTATTATAATAATCAAAGACCTGTGTATTTACATCGGTTTTAAATGATATTTCAAGTTGTAACCGAGTTATGAGATAATTTAAATTGCAATATCTTGCATACCTATAAGGCTATAACCTACCTATGAATTTAAATATCATAAAAAAATCAACGAAAAACACAGATAAAGTTCTTATCTTTAAGTTTGATAATAGTTCAATTCAATCTAGGCATTCACAAGTACCTAGCGAGACGTTTGCAAGACAAAATCATGTTTAATTTTAAGATAACAATTTATTTTGAGTCAACTAATATTAAAAAACATTTGCTAGGTCTTAAGAGTGAATCCACCTTACAGCTAATAGCACAAAATTGGTTCGGCTGAAAGCAAATTTCCTATGTTGTATGTTTTTAAGATGGAGATAATACATGTGAATATGATATCCTCTTAAGATATTATTATATTAATAATATTATCACAGAATACATAAAATATAAATATATTACCTATGTAATTATATTATATATTACACATATTGCATCAAATAAAAATTGTTTAAGCCAACATACAAGCAAAGATTAATTTTGTACTAACACATTCAGGTTTTGTTCTGCTTGATCAACATCTACAACCATTCCTGGAGGAGGTTCTTTAACGAGCGATATCAATTCTTTATGGAGTCTTTTCTATGTAAAAATAAAAAAATTATCAAACAATATTTTACAAAAAGATGTAATAGTATTTAGTAACAATTATGTGTAAGCAGATGGGTACATACTTCGGACGGAGTTTTACCGGCCATTTCACGACAATCTCCGGCAATAAAACAGATAATTTATATTATTTTTAAAGTTGTGTGGTATCACGTAGTATTCATAGTGTGATCAATAATTAATTATTGTGTTGTTGTCTCAATGAGAACATAGAATACATATTGGCCATTAAGTAAAACGGAGAAGCAAATAACTAATGCAATAGAACACGATCTATAAACGGTTGACCGAAAATTGTCGTCAGTCGTCACATTAATAATTAATAATGACAAAAATAATAGTGCACTAAAACCATATCTTCTAATTAGTTGACTATTTGAAAAAATGAGTCTTTTAACTATTTAGCTTCGGAAAACAACAAAAGGTCTTGTTGTCTCTTATCATTAACATATAGTACAGGTTGCGTGTCGGACGACACGCCAGCAGCTGACTGTTTTCGCAATGGAAGAATAAAACGCTACTAAAGAAAATTGTAATAACAAAATTAAGGTAAAACGGGAATTTTCATGCAAAAAGGTTTTTTGGCAAAATCCATTTTAGTATTTATAGTGTATTAGTGTCACTTACAAAAAACTAAATGTAATGTTCAATGAATGTTTATATTAGCATTTGTCATATTCTATACACCGCATAGTAGTTACTAGTTAGTACCACACAATATTTTAAACATGTTTTGACTCATGTTGAGCTATTAATAGGCATATGGAATTTTCTATTGTTATTAGTTATTTTAAATTAATGTCGATAAAAAAACTTGAAAATGTAATACTAACTGCCAGTGTTCCACGTAGGTAAAAATGTTACGTTGGTGGAAATTTAAAAAAAAGTTGAGTGTATTAAATCCATCATAATTTGTTATCATATTTTTTAACAATGAACATAGCTTTTTAATTTTATAATAATATTTAATATTATTTATTTATTACTTAAATTATTATTTTTATTCTTTAGGAATACTCGCATCAATTACAAAAGGAAAATTTGTTGTAGTTTTATTCATCATGACTAAAGACCGGATTTATATTCTTTTAAAACACCCAAAATATGATGTTAATATTCTCTAAAAAAACCATCAAAAATTAAAAAATATGCAAAAATAATCAAAAAACATCATTTTATGCTTTCAAAATTTTTTTTAACATTATTTTAATAGTACGCGAGGTGTTACTTTTTAGGTATTAAAAGTTGCGTATTATACCTAATGGAATATGGAAAATTATTGCACTTTAGTTAGAGTAGGAAATTGGAATATAATATAAATATAACAGTATAATATTAAAACATAAAAAAGGTGGGTAAGTGGATGTCGCTCTGCTGTACAGTAGGTTACAAGTGGGTCCCTGTATAATGGATGGTATTAAATTTGAATTCAATGATACAATATCATTGTATAAGAAAAACGATTCTGAGCGAAGACGGTATGTCAGTCTAGGTTTAAGACATATTATATAAATATTTATGGTATTAAAAAAAAAATTGGCCTATAATAAATTCCAAATTAATCATATCACAATATCCATTAGGTATTTAGGTACATGTACATTTAACAAGTTATACATCAATAACAAACCCTGATACTATCATAGATATATAATATAGTGTACTTTAGAAGTTTCAAGTACCCACGAATAGTATTATACACTCACAACAAAATAACTAAAATAGGTATGCTAGGTTTTTTAATATGTAATTTCGTCCCAAATTTGAACTTAAAATGACCATAAAAATAAACTGTGCTTGTGTATTTTTTAGATTTTTTGGTAACAGAATTAACTACTTACGTGGAATCTTGTTTTAAATTTGCAATCCTTCGCTTTAAAAACTGAACATTTTATAATTTATTAATTACAATGATTGATAATTTTCGAGATTTTGATACATTTTGTCAAAATTTCAACTTTAAATGCTTATAAAAAAAATTGTGCCTATGTATTTTCAATGTTTTTGAACTGATATTGTAACAATTTATCAGAAGCCTTGTATTACATTTTTACAGTTTTTGGCCCAACAGATAAAACTTAATTGATATTTATAGAAAAAAAAACTAAAAAAATTGAAAACTGAAAATTTCCGTAAACAGCTCAACAAGAGTTAAAATATTTTCAAAATGTTATGGTGTTTAGAAAATGCTAATTTAAACATTCAGTGAAATTTTCATGTATCTATACAGTTGTTTGTTTTTGAATTACAACAAAATAAGGAAATCGCTACATGAGAAATCGAGTATCCAATGTTGTAAAAATTTGAATTTCAAACGTTCATAAAAATTTAATTTGACTTTCTTGTAGAAATTTTTTTTCTGATAAAGGTAGATAATCTTATGAGGAATCTTGTATTACATTTTCAAATCTTAGATTTAAAAAGAAAAATTTTTACGAATTCTTAACTCAAAATAATTTGCTAATTTTCGTGATTTTTCCATATTTGGTCAATTTTTGAACTTTAAATGCTTATAAAAAAAAATTGTGACTAAGGATTTTTAATATTTTTCATCTGCCTTTGAAACAATATACTAGGAGCCTTCTATTAAATTTTCAAGCTCTCGCAAACCAACAAATAAAATTGATATTTTTAGGAAAAAAACTAAAAAAAAAATTTGGAAAATGAAAATGTCCCTAAACAGTTCAAAATAAATCAAAATATTTTGAAAATGTTATCGTGTATAGAAAATGCAAATATAGACATCCAGTGAAAATTTCATTTATCTACGGTCATTTGTTTTAAAGTTACATCAAAAACCAAAATCTATTTTTTGGAAAACCGATTTTGCGTAAAAATTCCCGTTTTCCTTAATTTTTATGTTGTTTTTCCCGGTGCTTGTGAAAACTAGTGGGAAATTTTTACTTTTGACCACCCAAAGTACCAACTAGATTCACTTTCCTCTCAGAAAAGCTACTGTTGAATAAAATCCAAGCACTTTTACTGTCCTAAAACGTGATGACAGACACCAAAAAAAATTAAAAAATTAAAAAATTAAAAAAAAAACACACATTGTAAAATCAATACATTCATCGTTTCACTCAGAATCTAAAACGAAATTTGGAAATTTCATTATTTAATAAACGTATACGTTGATCTTATCAGTAGATATACATACATAAACCTTGATAGCAGGGGTGTACTCAGGAATTTTCAATGGGGGGGGGGTTGAACATTTTGTTTTTTATCACGGGGACTTTGTCACCTCCTTTTTAAAAATATTAAATATAAACATGGTAATGTACTCTACAGAAAATAAATTTCAAAAATGAAAAATGTTTATTTAAAGAACAATATTCCGATTCCGATTGATTAACGTGTTCATGTTTTTTTTTAAGATTATTGTAGGGTTCAATGTACTTAGAACTTCCAGGCACACTAGTTAAAAATGTTATTATTTTATTTTTATTTTTATTTTTTGACTTTAAGCGTTTATGGAAAAAGAATAAATACTTAAATTTTAATACTATCATTAATATTTTTCAAAAGTATATTAAATTACTATACATTTTAATAATTAATCTGTGTGAAATAGTACAAGTAATTTTAGTATATACCTAATTTAGAAAAAACAATTAATAATTTTGATTAAGGGGGCCTTGACAGTTTTTACATTAAATTTAGGGAGCCTCACGACAAAAAAAATTGAGAAATACTGTACTAGATTATAGTGAAAATATCTAAATATAATAAATATAACTAGCTGTCCCGGTAAAATATCATGTTTTTAATGTTGCATTTCAATTTGAAAACTACATATACATTTTTCACTGTTTATTTTTCTAACATAATTTATATTTATTGAAGAAATATATAAACAAATTTTTTGACAAAGGTTGGTTGCTCAATACACAGTCAAATATTAACCAAATATATCATAACGCATTATGTCAAAACACTCAAAACAAGAATGATATTCACTTACAAAAGAAAAAATGAGCAAGGTGCTAAAAACAAGAAAACACCAAAAAAACTAAACAATTTTTCAAAATTAGTTTGAACTTTATAAGATAACTATTATTGAATAATATTATAATATAAATAATATACCTAATCATAAAATAAAATATGCAAAATATTTTAAACATGTTTTTAGTTTTTTATGAGCACTAGAAAATAATACTCCACTCTACCAGACTACTATTAGAATTAGGAGTAGAATCATAATAGTTTTAATTTAATTTAAAGATTTTAAGAAGGATGCAAATATCCAAAGAAGTGACTAAATTATACATAATATTTTTTTCTAATTGATGTCTACTCGATAAAAATATTGCCAATGAATAAAATGCAAATGTAATGTATAATTACAGGCTCCAAATTTATTATACCAACTCAATTAAAAAAAAAAACTTTTTATGATTCAATGTTTTTGTAAATACCGACTTCAATTTTAAAAAATATTAGCATTTTAATTCTGAAGTTTTAAGACATTTTGCATTTAACAGAATGAATATACAGGCCTTCGTAGGACAAGAAGCGCGCTCTGGTGACTATAGAACTGTGGTAATATTTTCAATCAAGAGTGTATACGTATAGGGGTCCAGAGCATAGACATATTAATAAATATATATTAATAGATATTAATATGTCTATGGTCCAGAGTGACGACAACTTATCAATACACCTTGTATGTTTGATTTAAATTTTATCTGGTTATCATAATACAGTTTTTTAATACAGATAATTCTTGTAATCGTTGTATAATGCATGTTGATATAAAATTGAAAATAAATATATTTGTTTATTTTTTCCCTTCTTAAAAATTTTTTTTTAGAAAATTGCTCCTGTGAATTATATTATGTATAAACAAGAACGCACAAAAGTGCATCGGTTAGTAAGGACATGGGAGGGGTTCAAACCCCACGAACCCCCCCCCCCTTGAGTACGCCCCTGCTTGATAGCACTGCATGTTTTCTTTTTATCAAAATGATAAAAAAATAAATAAATTATAAATGTTCAAAACATTTTTTTCTGAGTACCTAAAAAAATAAAAATAAATACAAATTTTTTCTCACAATTTACGAAATATTCCAAAACATGGTAAATGGGTTAAATATTCTCTAAACCCATCAAATATTCTCAAACATGCAAAAAAACTTTTTCTACGCATTCAGAATTGAACGAATCGTCCACATTTTTTACTCTCATATGATCCCAGTTACGATATTTAAATACATATAAATCCGGTCTTTAATCATGAGCCATGTTTTGTCTTGCATTAATGTACTAAGCAATATGCTACAAGATAAAAATGCCACATTAGGAAAATCAGCTAAATTAATTAACAGTGTGATAAAATCATTTGAAAACTCTCGAACTTCTGAAAGTTTCTCTAGTATGTGGACATCAATACAAACATTTGCCAAAGTACACGGTAATTCAATTGATATACCATCTCAATCGAAAGGTAATTTGTACTAAAATGTATTAATTTTAATCACTAACATTATAATTTAAATTTCTTATGTTTTCTTTTAACTAGAGCCAAAAAGGAAAAGACAACAACCTAGTCATTAGGTTCAGTTTTTAGTAAGCACGACTACTGGTGTAACATCTGAAGCAATGGATGTAGAAACTACTGTAGCTGAAGATTATTTTAGAATAAATATATATTTTAAAGTAACCGACTCTATTATTGAAAATTTAAAATAATGGTTTTCCAAAGAAAACTTGTCCCTTGCTGTTGGAGTTGATGAATTAATAAAACTAAACTATGATTAGAGTACTCAGTTTATTGATCATTATAAGGTATTTTTAATATTAATTGAAATCTAATTATTTTATAAATATTCTGTAGGTACTAATTTATTATATACAATTATAAATAAAATAATTATTTTTTAGGATTTATCGGGTTTAAATATTTGGCAACAAAGTTTAAGGTCGGAAATAATGGTTGCAAAGAACTATCTAGTTGAACCTGAAAGAGGCGATATTGAAGATATTAAAAAGAATATTTCACCTCAAGTGTTTCCTAATTTGTATAAAATGATACAAATTGCTTTAACACTAGGTACCTATTAGCTCTGTTACGTTCAAGAGAAGTTTTTCTGCTATGAGGAAGATAAAAACATGACTAAAGTAAGAACATATATACATCAAAAAAAATTTAATGAACTTTCAATATTATATATCGAAAAAGATAAGACTAAAGCTTTAAGTAATGAAGATATTTTAAATACTTTTAACAAAAAATGTCTTCACGGTCTTAGATTATTAGGTCTGGCAAGTGGCAACTAATCCCCGGTTATGAAGTTCTTATTGACGGGTCCCGCTCTGGTGGCGCCATCTACTGGTAAAGTATGTTAATATTATTTCGATGATTTTCTTTAAAATTGACTTAAAAAACTTTATGTATTGTGAAAGTTTAACTGTGTTTGACGATATTGTAGAAGGATTAATCAATAAATTAGAATCATTCACTTTCCCATGTGCAGAACATAAAGATTACATTATTTCTTATTTGATAAAATACCACATAAGTAATGCGACAGTACATGAGAGTACGAGACAGTCAAATCAATATATATCTAAAGAAAACTAAAAAAAAAAAAAATTATCATCATTTTGTAAAACATAATAATAATAATACTTATAATAATTTACCTGTAAGATCTGGATTCTGGATATTTTAAATGTTGATACTTGGTATTTTTAATTATTTCATAATATTTTTTAATTTTTAGATTATAATGTTTTATACTTTTTTAGCCTTTATAAGTATTTAGTATAATATTAATTTTTAGGTTTTAATGTCTTATACTTTTAAATAATGAATACTATTTTAACAGTAAAAATGTTTATCTATATGTTTTACCTTTTAATGAGTAATAGATTATTAAACTACAAATTACTTCTAGATTGCGCCACCATAGCGGGACCCGACAATAAGAGCACTACTGATTTGTGTAAATTGGTTGGTTAGTTGCATAGGCCTGGACTCTGGAGGCTGGAATATAGTATAATATTCTATAGACCTGATAATATTATTCCAAAAAACCTAGTACATACAATTTTAATATACTATATTGCAATGGTCTGCTTGCCTTTAATATATTCAGCCCCCCCCCCAAGCCAAAAGTTGAAATTGCGCCTATGTATATTCTATTAACCTTGGTATTTATCCACAATTAAAGATATATCGTATATTCGTATATATATCTATAGGTATAGTCATGAAGAGTGAAGACTAGAGACATTTAATATCTTTTCTATGACTAGAGATAAGGAGGCCAAACTCTACCACAAAAAACGTCCCGTAAAACATAGCGCACTAATGTCGCCACCAGTCCGCGTGGCGGTCAAACCGAGGCTGGCTCGGAATATAATTAACCCGTATTAGATAGGGACATACTTGACTTTCTTACCTTTAAAAAATTATAATTCAAAAAATAAAATCTTATTTAAATTATAATTATACCATCGTATTCAGCGCAAATTTATCTTTGAGAATAAATTTCAAAAATAATATTAATGTTCTATATTTACGTAATAAATCAATAAATGTACATATAAACAGTAAAAATAGGTAAACTGTTTCGTTTACATAATTATTATTATTATTATTTACTACAGTTTGGATACTTTCCTGTTTTTTTCTTACTAGTCATAGACCATAGTATCCTTATAATTGGCTCATTTTACAATAAAACACATGCGAATTACTAAAAAAAAACGGACAATATTGGCATTATGGCTTTAGAAAATTCTTCTTTCTGAGTTCTGATCAACACAACCGACCAATTGGATTGCATCACCTTGTCAATAATTTACGTAATAGTTAATAAATTATTCATATTAAGTTCTTAATTTTTCAATGTTTCTAGTGTCGATTTTCTTAAGTAGAAATTGAACTAAATAGATTATTAGATGAATGTATCAAGTGGCCCTCTGATCGCATGTCTATAAGTTTGTCTCTAGATGAAGAAGAACAATCGTTTCTTAAGCTAGAAAGACAAATTTAAATTTTCAATATTTCCTCAATTTAGTGTAATCAATTGGTATCGTAAATACGAATCTACCGACTACCACTAGAAAATAATATGCACCAGTTACCAGTATAATACATTTCTTGTCTTTATAAATAATTAAAATACTTAATTTAATAATAAAATTTATAACGTAAATACAGAATATTAAAATTATTTTTGTAATTTATTCTTAAAGATAAATTTGCGCTGAATACGAGGGTGTAATTATAATTTAGATACGATTTTTATTTTTTTAGTTATAATTTTTTAAAGGTAATAAAGTCGAGTATGTCCCTATGAAATATGGGTTAATTATACACCGAGCCAGCCTCGGATTTGACCGCCACGCAGACTGGTGGAGAAATTAGTGTACGATATTTTATAGAACCACAGAACAAATTAGAATAGAACCAATTTTTGTGCAGGTGCCAGGCGGCCAGCAGAGTTTGTCCTCCTTATCTCTAGTCTTCATGTATAGTTCCCCCCACGGACTAAGATAAACTAAGTTTATCTTAGTCCGTGGTTCCCCCGGAGTGTGATAAGGACTGTGATAAAAAATTATTTTTTCTTTGATATCTATTTAGCTATAATCGTGATAAAAACCAAAAACAATTAGTGGACACTAATGTTGACTTGTGGTTTCTGAACATCTGAACTACTCATAATTCATAGTGCAGACTTACTCAGAGTTCAACTAAAATTTTTCTTATATAAGAGTAATTTTTGTACTTCTTTTAAAACAACTCTGCTCGTAACTCGTTATGGCTGCACGAATACTTTTCAAAAATGCCATGCTTAGAAGTGGAATTTCTTTACGACTAAACGTAAGTGGCTTTAAAATAATTCAAGAATCACTAATTAGGATACAAATACCTAATTAATGATTGTGTTTAAAACTGTTGTGTATAATGTAAGGTAAGAAATTTGTAAATTTTCCGTAACCAATTACTTTTTGATTTTTTATATATTTTCTCATGAATCACGAATAGGTAGTTGAAAAATAATAAGGAAAGTTATTAAACAAAGCTTTGTCATTTTCAAGTTCCCCAAAGCATTAAATTATCATAGGAATCAAATATTAAAGCATATCGGTTATCTACCTACCTTCATCACCAGTAAAATATATTTTAAATCGGATAATTAAAATTAATTTTGTAGCCTTACCCAGTGGCAGCTTGTGATATTCACATAATGTGGTACACAATTAATTTTATAAGATACCTATGTTGACTGGTAAAAAAAAAATCAAATTTTGTTATATTAAATTTTCATACCCATAACAATGTAGGTACTTATCTACATTTAATTTATTTAAACTCAGTTCAAATTATTTATAAATGAATTATAATTATATTATATTTATATATTATCATATATTGATAGTAGTTAACATATTATGAGAGAGCACAGTGGTGTGTTATTTCGATGATAGACGTGATAGCGCTTCACAATAAAAATAAGACCTATACTTTAAATGGTCTCCAGGAGACCATGTTTTACTAGCTGACGCGGCTATGCTTGTAGCTAATATTTGTACGGCTGCCCAGAGCACATTGACCTCTGCGAATTATTTAATTGGTTATAAACATACTTGTCAACATAAAAAGCTGTTAAAGTCAAAAAACTTTTTCTTTTTTAATAAACAATTCCTATATTACAAACTATGTGCATAATAATTAAAAACTAATTTATTATAGCTTACTATGAAATATAATAAATAATATTTTTTTTTGGATACTTCACATGCTCTTGTGCACCATAATACTAGGCACCACTACTGACATTACCAGATAAAACAGACTAACATAATACAATTTGTTGAGAGTATAATTTTATAAATGTTAGGATTATGTTATATAAATTATAAAAATTTATATTACAATAATAAATTGTTGTGATCATTTTTTTAAAATTTATTATTATGATTGTATAGAGTTTAATATACAAACGTGATTCATCGTACCGTTCAAGTCCAATAGCTCAAGACTCATCGTGTTATGCCAAATATGAAGTATCATCTTCACCAGAAGAATGGAAATTTGTTGAGAGACTACTTCCGTTAACTACTATACCAACACCTTCTGACAGGAAAGATTTGCCATCAGGATGGCAGCCACAGACGGGTAAATAACATTAATACAATGTGTTAATTATAATATATATACATATACTCTGCAGTAATTATAACATAAAATACTGATTTCAAAAAGTATAAAAATGTTTGTAAATATTTTTTTAACATACATGTTTTGATATTACCAAATCATATAAAAATGAAGTAGATGCAAGTATTGATAAAAGATTATGCTTCTCTAAACTTTATACTTTAATGCAAAAAAATAAATGAATATAATAATAATATAATAAAAGTTACATATTTTTATGATTATTTATGGTTTTACAGCGACATTTGGAAAATATCCTTACTTTGTCCATCGTACACGCAATCATATGCTACCTGTGTATCTTAAAGTTTCCATGAGAGGAACAAGACGCATAACTCAAATAAACAATGTAGATGGTAACATATGGATATTAGAAGAAGCCATAAAGAAATATTTGACAAGAGTATACGGAGATAAGAAAATAATTGCTACTAAAGTACATGAAGTATGTGGTCATTTATGTATTCACGGAGATCATGTATCTAGAGTTAATGAGTGGTTACTAAAGAAAGGTTTGTAAAGAAAATAATAGAATATATATACAAAAATGTAATATAAAAATGAACTTACAATAAAATATATGTAAAAATAAACTAAAATTGCACTTTGACTTAACATATTGTTAAATTATTTATAACTATACATTAAAATTTAAAAAATTCAGATAACATAATACAAGAAACACAAATATAGGAAGTAGAAAATAGTTACTAGTTACTGTTAATACTGAATTAAAATATGAGCGAACAAATCTAATAGTACGAGAACATTATATAACAGTGATGTGTGTAGGACAACTCATTAAAAAGCTAACAATTGGGCAGTAATCTGATATGGTTTTGTAAAATATGAAATTATAATAATGGTTAAAGTATTTAAGGAAACACAAATAAACTATGATGGATGGCAATGATATAGAATTCTTACATTATAACTCAAAATAGTAAACTAATGTAGTTTATGCCAAAAATAAAATAGAAATTAAGGATTTAGAATGTTGTGGAACGTGTCTAGTGTTGATGTTCGTCAAAAACAAGTTCAACATACCACTGTTTAGTAATACTGTTAATGTAGATAGTAAATTAAAATTTTAGTTGAAATTAAACACACAGATCACAATTATTTATGGGTACGATAAAAACTAAATTCTATAATAATTGTATAAATATAAATTTCTTAATCTAAATCACATAAGTACCCTGTATAACTAAAAACAATGTAAAAAAAAATAATAAAAAAAATAGTTAACAAACAAATAAGAGCAATTATTAAAAAAAGTTGACTGTGTAGTAAAAGTATACACAAAATAATCCTTCACATAAATAAAACTGAATTGTTATAATAATTATAAAAGTATCTTATCAATGAGCAATTTATTGGCAGGACTTTGCTTTCAGTCTTGTAGATTTCCATCTTTTATAAAACCGCCTTCAGTCTGACAGATGAACACCGTTCTTCAATTGAAAACAACATTGTATTCAGCAATGGTTTCTAGACATTTACTTATTTTACTTCAAACATAGTTTTCATCTTTTGCGTCTTTAGAATGCCATGTCCTTGGAGTATCTGTAGGCAAGGGCATAGCTCGTCTGGGCAATGAATTAATTTCATTTTCAGAACAATTGTTATTATGATTTGCCAAATAAGAGATCTCTATAGCATTCTAAAATTAAACAAATTTTATAATTTAATAAAAATTTGAAATTCATAAAACAAAAACTTACTTTAGCATCAGGAGCAAGTGGATTACTAGTAATGTTAATCGGATGGATCACATATCCATTTGGTGGATGAGTATGTCCATGCGTATTCTCAGAGGCCATTGGTAAAGTGCATCCATTAATCATTTTACCATTTTTCAGGGCAAACCCATTCATTGATAATGGCTCTAGCCCTGATACTGCTTCAGAACTCTTGTTAAGTTCTAGAAATTAAACATAAAATAGCAATACATTGTAACAATCTTAGTTAGAATTTTTTTCGAAAAACAATAATTTACCTGGAGAATTAGAGTGTGATGACAACCGTTTGCTGTACATGCATACGGTAAAAAATATAAGTAGTACAATAGCTCCAATTACAGCAGTAACTGCACCAAGCAAAACGTAGAGTGACTTCACACCACCGATTGTTGAATATACATTATTATTATTTGCAACATTATCGGGTATGTTGTCAGTCCACTTTGGACTATCTGTACTTGTCTTAGGTTCTCCTAAAAAATTAATTTTTGTTATGTTAAATAATATAATACGGTGCTAATATAAAATGTAACTAATATATATTGTGAATTTGCATGCATTTAAAGTTACTATTTTTGATCTAATGTAAATAGGGTACATACCAAATGTTTTGTGTGTGAGTATGGTGCTAAAATTGGAAGCTTCGTGTACAGTAAAACTTTGTAATTTTAAATCGTATGAAGTATCTGGAGTTAAATGTGTAACGACAAAGACGCGGGTATCTTGGCCATCTACAATGGCTTTAGTGTAATCCCCTGCAGTACTAGTAGCTCGATAATATACATAGAACCCTTGAACTGGAGCTAATACAGAATTCAGGTACTAAAAATAAACCATAATATCTTAATATGTCATAATATTTTTAAATATAATATACTACATACCTCCCATTCTAATGATATAGAAGTACTATCAACGGCTTTGGCTGATACTAAAGTTGGCGGTATTAAAGATCTGTTAGGTGGTCCTTTACTCAAAAAGAAATGTTTTGAAGTTGGACCAGATTTATTATCATCATTTGAATACACTGCGGCTACTTTAAATCTGAAACATAATGAAGATTTATGATATTAAAAATATTCCATCATGCATTAGTTATACATTTAATTTAATAGAATTACAATATTAAACTCAATTTCTAAAACTGTAATGGTATCATAAGTAAAACTCACCATTTATAATTATAAAACAAATTAGCTTATGCTAAAACTATATTTAAATAATAATGTATTAAAATATAATAATTAAGTCTTAAACAAAAATGCAAATTGCTGAAACATTGAATGTTTGTTGACAAACTACTTAATTTAAATTAATTACAAAAATATAGTTTGTTATGTTTGTATATAAGTAAATCTATAAACCCAATGTTATATTGAAAACTTACACATAATCGTGATCAGGTAATAACTTATCTACTTGATAACATCGAATATGCATTTGTATATCGTCACTGCTTGTATTCCAACTACCACCAACTTGTTTGTACTGCAATTTAAAAAATCGAATTTGCAGTCCATCATTTGGTGGAACAAACCATCGTACCATCACTGAATTTTCTGTTAACCTGGTTACATTTGGTTGCGAAGGAGGAACCATCTCTATCAAAATATAAAGCATTACACATTTAAAACAATAAATTACATACATAGTCAATTTAGTCTACACAATATTTTATACATAGTTTAACATACCATTTCCTTTTTTTTTTCTATCTTTCTTTCGACCCTTTCCTTTATGGTTTCTGTCTTTCCTGTCTCGTTGAGGGGACCGTGTTGTAGAATCTAATAAAAATTTTGTTTTAATTCCTATTTTAAATAGAACAAATAGCAATACACAAATAATCCATTTGTGGTTTTCATTATTTTGTCAATTGAATTTGCAGGATAAACAAAACAACAGTTGTCATATTGAAAACTAAACAGTGTACAGCAATGATAGATGTATCAAAATATAGTGACAAAGGCCAGTTTTGCATGAACGTGTATCTTACGCACGTGTTTTCAGTTACATTGAATAAGTTCATATGCACCACAAAAAATTGCATATAAGTAAGGACCGTATAGGCGTAGAATAGATTTGTGATATAAATAGCTTAAAATATAAATGTATCATAATATAAGTGTACATCATTGTGTATAATAAATTATTATAAATATAATGGTGGATGGTTTCAAGTCTAGGTTCAATATTTTTTTAATTAAAACAGAATAATTAGCAGAATTAAAAGAAAATATTTGTTTATATTTTTTTTTTTTTTATTGATCTTGAGCCCAGCAACTAAGGCCATTAGCTACTTTTAGTTTTGTTGGTAGGGGGAGGAACACTTGTATTTGTTTGGCAGAATTTTTGATTTGGGCACCCTTAGGTATCTGCCATGCCCGGGGGATGGCATTACCGTGACTTGCCCGAAGAAAAATGTCGCCCATGGCCGAGGTATCAAACCAGCGTCGGCTGGGTAGCAACCGATGCCTTAGTCTGCTCGGCCACTCTGTCCCCCTTGTTATTTTTTATTTTAACGGATTTTATCAAAATTTAAACTTTATAAATAAATACTTACTAAATACCTACTTCTATAAAAAATGTGATAATGCATTTTTGATGTTTTTAAATTAAAATAATATATCATACCTAAAAAATACAAATAAGTAATTAGTGAACACGAGAAGTCTACAATTATTATTCCTTTTCTGAATTACAAAAATACAATAATTTATCTGAAACTGGTGCTGAGTGAAATTGTTTTTGGTTATTTTTTCCAATTATTGAGGAAAGTATCTAGCGTTTTGAACCTCTCCTCCTCTCACCAATGTGCTACTAACTAGATCAAATTTGCTACCACTAACCACTCTAAAATTGATTATACCAAATTTTCTGAAAAGATTTGTGTTTACAGACAAAAAAATAAAAATAATGTACTATTGAAAAATTAATACATTCCTTGTTCTGTTCAGAATCTAAAATAGATAAGAAACAAAATATTTTTAAAATATTTTCATGCATGGAAAATGCTGTTTTCTATACCTAAGCAAACTTGTAATTATTTAATGTTTATATTACTGCACAGTGTACAATTTTCAATATTCTAAAGACAATCTGGTCAATTTATGCAAACAAAATAAAATAACATAACATCCTATTAATATTAGACTTATTGAAATCACCTTCATAATAATGTTGTTGAGAAGTAAGTTGTGTAATTTGTTTTGGATTGACTTGAATCATAGCAGCCCAATATGAACATCCTAAGATATTACATGCAAAACATTGAATAAATCCGGCATGATACTTGTGAGTGTTGTTTAAAGTCAAAATGCTTCCTGAATTAAACCATATTTTTATCATTTTATTAAAATATATTATAATTGTTTAGTCATAACTCATTAATAACTAACCTTTAATAAGTATATTTGTATCATTAACCGGTTTCCCGTTAAGGTACCAAATAATTTTGGGAGGTGGTGTTCCCATTGCTTCACATTTTAATGTCTCAGAACTGCCTTCATTTATTACCACAGATTCACTGGGACCATTTTTCACATAAGGCATCTCTAGAATATAAATAAAAACATTTGATATATTAAAATACGTATCACTAGAATTTGTGAAGTTATGAAGTTACTAAATAATATTTACCTTGAACTTGAAGTGTTATAGAATGAGTGATTTTTCCATGACTATTTTCAGCAATACAATCGTATACACCAGAATCTTCAATACTTAGATTACGTATAGTTAACAAACCCGATTCAATATTAGTTTTGTTACCATGCATGAG